TTCCCTCTCTGTCCACCTGTTTCCTGACCCCTTCACCCGCACACGTACATGCACACACATGTGCACACACATGCACATGCGCACATGCATATGCACACCGCTCCCCAGCGCATTCGTGTTGGCACTCGGGCTGCATCGGCTGCCGGCTGTGCCGTGGGGAATTGGACTTCTGTTTGGTTGAGTACTGACTTCGGGTTTAGAAGTCATATTTAAACATGTCTTAGAATTTAAATAACTGGTCAACGTGTTTATAACTCTGCGTTTTATGTATCAGGAGCGAACCTGTGGTGTGATTTTGTGGTCAGTGGAATATCAGCTGACCCTGATTTTGGTGCAGTTCTGTGTTTTGTAATCTCAGCTGTTGTCAGGTTTTCTCTCAGGCACTGACTGCCCTGTCCCCGTGGGGTTTGGTGACTGGCTTTTAAAGCAGCTTTCGAATTGTTTTGCAGCCACTTGATTGGGATGAGTTACTGTGATTTAAGACGCAAAGGCTTTTGAAAAGTTCTGAAGCTGTGTGCTACGTACTGCTCCTGGGGGACCAAGAGGGATGCGGATTTCCATAAAAGCTCTCCCATAGGCACTAGGTAGGCAAAGCAACACCGTGTTTCTGAGGCTGGTGCCTGGATCCGCTTCCGGTGAGGCCAGTTTCACACCAGCCCTGAGGGGATGACCATAATGTGACGGGTGCGTCCTTATTTAGTGCATGGCGGTGAGCTCATGAATTCAAGTCAGGAAGGTTTATTATTTTGTCTCTTTTCCGAGGCAGCCTGGGCAAAAACCAGACACAGAGTCAGCCTTCAAAAAGTCACACCAAATTAGCAGGAAATGCCGGTGAACGGCTGCTCTTGGTGGCCCTGATTGCCGGTTCTTTCCTCTCCACAAGCGTCTGTGCGGAGTGTCTATGGAAAGGATCCCACCGTGCTGTTCCGTGGATGCTCCTTTCTCCCTCAGTGATCCCGCCTCCCGCGCTGCCTCCAGCTGTGAGCGTCTCAGAGCGAGTGAGCAGAGCCGCCGTGTTTAGGTCAAGTGTTCCTGCGCCCCGCACAGCCCGGAGCAGCCGTCTTCAGTGAACTTGGCAGCGGGCCAGGCTCCCGGGAGAAGCTGGCTTCTCGAGTATTTAATTTGTCAGGCGATCGCTTCAGAAGCACTTGGGCTGCGTGCCAGAGCTGTCCGGAGATGTTTTATGGTGATAATATCTTCATTCTCCAGGGAAAGAAGTGACTTTTCCTCCCTGGTTGAAGGGATAAAGTTAAATTAAGCTGGTTTTCACGTATCTTAATACAAGACAGAATCTTTATTTGCCAATCATTTTCTTACTGTGGCTCATAATCGGTTTGGTCAAAGCGCTTTGAACGTCAGAGTTCTCTGCCGGGAAAGGCCCACGTCCCGTTGGCGAGCGGGCCAGTGGTGCTTGCGGAGCCAGAGCTCGCGCACAGGCCCTGGTTATGAAACCGCCGTGTCTCAGGGTTCTGTGGGCATTATTGGTGATGAAACTCTCATTTTAATGTATATGCACTTCACACTTTGCGGGAGTTTTATCTTCCCATGTATTTGTTTGTAACACGTAGCTAAAACTTCTTCAATGAATATTTAATACTTTCTTATTTATTAAGAAAGGTATCATACTTTTATTAGGAGGTAGATTAAATGATTGCACATTATATCTAGTGTAGAACATATCAGACCCTTGAATAGAACTCATAGAAGAAAAATCAGCAAAGTTGTACTCGATATCGTATTGTTAGAGAAATATCCAGCCAAGGCATGAGCTGTTGTTAGTTTTAGGGAGAGCCACGCGTGAGATACTGAGTTTTGGTTCTTAGCAAGTTCTTACTGGTTCTGTGTTTATCTTAGTTTAGTAGAGAAGTAACTGACATGTTGCATGGCATTTGCAGGGTGCCTTTCAGGAGGTTGACCACCAGCAGCAGTTGACGGAATTGTGTGAAGCTTTTCTGAGCTGGTCTCCGATAGTTCTCTCCTTTCCCAGGAGAGACGTTAATGACGCCTTCAGACGCTTTCCCTGAAGGACAAAGGGCACTTTTTAAAGTTACGGTCACTGTGCTTGAGGTTTTTAAACTGTTGGAAAGGAAGGAGCGACAGTGCGGCCCTCTGCCCCGCA